AGACCACCGTATCTCTCTCTAGCACCAAAGCCGAGTACAAAGCAATGTCTGACTCGTGTAGGGAAGCTATGTGGTTTAAACACCTTCTGTTCGAACTAAACATAAGAACCCCATCAGCAATACCTCTTCATGTTGACAACGAAGGCGTGGAGGCTCTTGCAAGAAACCCTCAGCATCACTCTAGGACTAAACATATTCACGCTCGATTCCACTTTGTCCGAGAGTGTGTAAAGAATGAGGATGTGACTATATTACATGTATCCTCTAAGGACATGTTGGCAGACATGCTTACCAAGCCTCTACCACGCGTCTTGCTCGAGCGTCACAGAGCCATGTTTGGTCTGATCTAATTTCTTTTCTTTCTTTTCTTTAATTTCTCTTTCTCTTTCTTTATGTTATCTTATGATATTTGTTTGGTGAAGCTAGCTGGACGCAAGGGGGGGTGTTGGAATACTTGATATCTCATGATGAACTCCTCTCGTATTCCTTATGTCATCTGTCATGTGTGCTTTCCATCTACTGCTTTTTGTCTATTGTTTTCTTTTATCTCTCATGACGGATCATGTGAATCCTCTAGTTCTTACATAACTAACAAATGTTTGTTACGTAGTAGTGTTGTGTATATATACAACCTGGAGCTGCACTAGGAAAGGGTCTCTTTTCCTCACCCTTTCCATTTCATTCTCGTGCGCTCCAGGTATGTATTTCCTTTTTCCTTCATGTTGTGTGTGTTACTTATGAAATTGAAATTACCCTTTCCATTTCATTCTCGTGCGCTCCAGTTGATCGCAACACCTTCTGATCAGCTACTATCCTAACAAACAATCCACAGAGACAAAAGTATAAGAAAAGAACTAAAAGCTGATGTGCTTACCTGGCTCCGAGTAGCAGAATCTCCTTAAGGAGAAAGTGACTCGGGAGCCAGGGCAACTAGATGACTACACTACTGATCTCTAACCCCATAACCCATAACTACTGAGAACTACCTGTAAGGTATACCCTTACAGTGTCAAGGCCAGCTTTAGGAATGGAACACTTTGAGTATTGGTCAAGATGAAGTTGAGGGCTGAGTTGGCACGGTGGTACATCTCGCTGGCAAGATTGACAAAGTGGATGAAGTTAATTAGTGTCAATTGGGAAGCCAGTTGTGGGTGATCTTCTGTCAGTCGGGTCACAAAGTCCACAAGGAGCATTGTTGATATTGAATGGGGAATGGTGTTGATAAATCGATTGTCGTATTGGTTACAGTGAGGATGTTGATATCTTGGCATATGATTGGTGCCGGTGATATGGTGATTACATGTGGTAGGCTGATGGAGTCATGGACCGGTGACACTCATGCAAAGATTGAAAGGACACGTTGAGGTGCGTGGAGTAGAGTCTACTCGGGTTGTCTAACCCCATGGTGTTGATGGAATGGGACCCACCAGGAATCACATGATCCGCAGTTGTGGGATGACATGGTGACTTGTGGGTGGAAAACACTAGGGGTTCTCAAAGTAGACCCGTTTTGTAAAAACCCGGTTGACCCAGTTAACTTTTTGGCTGTGATCTGTCGAAAAATGCCAACTCAATACACAAGGTTACTGCCAAAAAGCAACCGGATCAACTTTGAGAACCCCTACTGCATACAAGCATGAGGCCAAGCCTTACCTAAGTCTTAGGTGTCCCATAGTTATGGTACTCAAAACCACTAGGTTCAAGCCACCTTTTTCAAAAAATGTGAGAAACATAGATTCAAAGTTGATCTTTTTGCAGGGGAATTCTTGGGAATTCTCTGGAACTTTTTTTTGGAGTTCTGTACGGTTCATTTTCTCCGCAAAAACAACATTTTGAAAGCAGGTTTTCAAGAAAGGTAGCACGGACCTAGTCATTTTGAGTACCGTAAATCTGAGAGCTTTGAGAATTCTCACCAAAAATACGACTCCCGGAACTACCCCTTACAGGGAGCACTTGAGGATCGGGGTTTTTTTCCTGATAATCCGTGATAATCTGATAGTGAGAAAATCCTGAGAAATACAGCATACAGCCACCCCGGTAAAAGCCTACACACAAGCATATTACAGGGAGGTAAAAGTCAGAAATGTCCAAAACCTTAGTGGCAGGCAAGCACGGGTGCATGTCACAGATCTGATATATTGTACTAGGGCTGTGACCCGGCCTTGAGAGTTCGTGGCCGGCCCCGGGGCCAAGCCCGACCCTGGGTAGACCCGAGGTCCCCTGGAAACTTCTCAGGGCCGACCAGGGCCTGCCCGAATCTCAGGCCTTGGGTGTCCAGGCAGGGCCGGGCCCAGATTTATGAGTAAAAAACCCTTGGAAAGGGGAAATGTTTATATTATTTTTGGCGAAAACAGGATCGGGCAGTCGGCCGGGCCGGGCGCCCGGGGCGCCCGCAGGGCTTTGCACCCTCTTCTGATTAGGTTTCAGAGCCCCGAGGCCGGGACCGCCAGCGTTTAAAATATCGCCGGGCACCTTCGGCCGGGCAGGGCCGGGACCGGGTCACAGCCCTATATTGTACCGTCCCAGAAAAACTCCTCCCTTTTCCCTTGTTTGATCACCACCCAACGCGAAAGAATTTTCACGCAAGACCACCAACCACACTGCATTTGGACTATGGATAAAAAGTGCCATCCCTAATCTATCCAACGCGCCTGATTCGATTTCAATCCAACACCCTAGTCGCCATCGGGTATTCATTTGCCTCTGACCCGCCACATTCACAAACCATCGATTCACATTCTGGATTCAAGTACCACTCAGTCACATTAATCTTTTGATTTGATCACTATTCTTTTTGTTTTTGGTCGCTCTTGATCTGGATTCATCAATCATGCTGTTATCATGGTCTGATCAATTACCATCAGCAAGCACTGTCAGTTGGTTTTCCGTTTAGGTTTATTAACAACCAATGGACATGTGGATCTAAGGAGCATGCTGACACAGAATCTTCATTTCAAAACGCAGGAAGGTTTTGGCTCGATCATATATGGAGATCTTGAGCACCTCTTTGGAACAGTAGACGTAGGTATGATAGACATTCAACAACATCACGAATAAGCAGAAGATCTTGCCCCTTCTGGACCTGAAGGTTTTGATGATGTTGAACATGAGATGAGAGAGATTGGGAGACCTGTACTTACTCTCTATGAAGTGTAATCATTATTTACCCCTCATATGGTTCTATGTAATGCCATTTCAATTCAATTTGAAGTTTGAAAAGTGTTCGCTTCTGAGAAAAAAGATATGATGGTATTATTTTAAATCTTTATAAACCAAACATTTTTCTGTCAAGACTTTGACATCCCAACCGCGCCAGTGATGAACAAGAAAAGATTCTGTCCTTAGTCTCTATCTTATAATACTTTGAAAGTTTTTCAATCACTTTCAAGTATAAAGCTGAAAGCTCACATAATTGAGATCAGAAAAGGAGATCAAAGGCGTAATCAAATGATATTCTTTTAAAAAGGAGAACACTCTAGTATAGATCATTGCAAAGGCCATTGCCCACCATCTATTTTTGTTCCGCTCAGATAGGTCTCTTGAGCGTTATTCTCTGACCAATACACTATTAACTTTTTTAGAAAAAGAGAACCAAAAAGGAAAACATGCTGATCAGTTTCTTCCATCAAGATAATAAATCTCTTCAGCGGTTTCTATTTTGATGAAATCAAAAAAGAAGTAAGATGAAATTAAGAGACTCACAAGCAAATCGGAGCTATATTTGATGTGCTCCATCTATCTTTACAGCATTATAATTACATCAATCTGGTGCCATATTGACCGACATTCATATTGCGATTGACTTAGCGTCACATACTGGATCACTTTGACCAATCAATAAACAAAGATCATAGGGTGGTCCTCAGTTGAGGATGCGCGGTTGTGAGATCGGTAACAAGATCTGTTGGGAGCGTTGGATGGTGCTATCCAGGAGAGAATGGTTGATCCAGGTTTGATCATTTGGCGAGGCTGAGGGTGGTGAACCGTGTGTGCAAGAAGTGGTGATTCACCCAATGACTGCTGAGGGTGAGGGGGGTCATGTCGCGAGGCATGACAGGTGAAAGATTGTGACCACAAGTATGTAGGCCAGATGATCCGCCTGACCTTAAGAGAGGGCAGATATTGACCTTGGAGCCTAGAGTCCTGTGGAAATTTATGGGTTTGTGAGGGTCTCTCTAAATTATCAGGTTTCTCAGAACGATCCTGAGCCAAACCCTGATCCTATAGTCTACCCCAAACTTAACAAAAATCAGAAATCTCAATTGAATGGGGGCAAAGGGTTTTTTTAGGTTTTTGAGCGTATCTCGATTCTCACCAGGTTGGGGCTAGCGGACCGGGTTGGGTCAGCCAGTAGGGAGGAGTCGGCCCCGGTCCAGCTCAGATTTCCCGGGTTGGGACCAGGTCGGCATTACCCAAGACAACCAAGGAGCGACGATCGAGGAGGAGGATTCTCAACTCACACCACGGGAATTAACTTGTTTGAAACCCCATTGAGTGAAATTTTGGTGTCCGGGTTCAAAATTTCCTCAAATCAAGAGACTTGTTCACAACTCGTTAGCATTAGGTTTGCCAATTTCCCTCGGGCTATACTCTGTACTCTGCTGGCCCCGTGTATGTGCAGTCACATGATAAAACAACAACCCCTTTCACCATTGTACTCACCTTCACCTTCCTTTGTCAAGCCTTGATCAACCAAATACAAGAAAAGAGTTCAGTGGGGACAAGATAAGGAGTGAGATCATTGAACGGTTGGAATTAAAGATTTTGAGAGTGCAGTGTATGTGTATGTATTGTAGTGTACTCGAGGGAAATCAGTGAACCTGATGCTAACGAGTTGTGAACGAGTTTCACGATTCGAGGAAATTGCAAACCCGGACACCGAAATTTTGCTCAATCGGGTTTTGAACGAGTTAATTCCCGCGGTGTCATTCCATCTCCCTCACGACATCTCCCTTCCTACTTTCCCGGTCATTATTTGGATCAATGACTTCAGAAACCGGTTCTTCACGTCTCTCGAGGGAGTCCGCTAGCAGCTCCAGTTCGTCTGACTTGGTCGGACACCCAATGACTCAGCGACACATCGACAATGTCTCGACTTCCCAAGGTCACCTACTCATCCGGCAGCAAGATGATGATGATGAGGTCTCTTCGCTTCCGTCTGGCCTGAACACACCCGCGGCCGAGGCAACCATCCCTCTGGCCCCAGCAGCTCAAGGCAGGCTACGTTCAGCGAGTCTAGGAGCATTCAAATTCAGCTCTCATATTCTTCCACTCTCACAAAGCTCGGAGCCCTCTCGCCACTCTCATCGAGTTGAAGCCAAGATCCCTACCATATCTGCAATTGGTTTAGTAGTGGGTCTGCAGGTAGGGTCCGGTATCTTCTCCTCCCCGGGCATGCTCAGTGCGTTGTTTTTTGTCAGCAGAGGAACACTGTGAGGAATATATATCGCCATGCTTTAGCGGACTTGAAGAGTGTGTCGCTGATCCTCCAACGCCCCCCATGGTGGATGCTTTGGTTTCAGGTCAACATGCAGGCAGCACCGGTGCTTCTTTAATCATTTGGGTCGTGGCGGGTACATTGGCTTGGACAGGAGCATCATCCTTTGCAGAGCTAGGTTCTGCTATCCCACTGAACGGTGGAGCACAGGCATATTTGAACTACGTGTTTGGCTCATGGGCCTCGTATCTATTTGTATGGACTAGCTTAGTCGCTCTCAAGGTGAAGCATTCCACATGGGTCGATTTCTGTTACAAGTAGACCATCGCTGAAAGCTCTCAACACGTCAATACTTGTTGTATAAATGAATTGCTAATCTGTATTTTGGTCGTTTCACCGATTCGTACACGCGCATCTTAATTTAGCCTGGTTCCGCCGCTATTATATCCATCGTTGGAGGAGAGTACCTATGTCGCATATTTTATCAGTGAGTCCAAGCTTCATTGATGTTGCATTATTTCTGCATTTCATAAAACTCTTGGTTCAACCCCTTTTGGGAAATATGACAATGAGTCGTACAAGATTGTGACGAACTCGACGCTGATGCCGATCCAACGTTGCTGACATTTTTGCGCTCTTTGGCCCATCTTTTGATCCGGGCCTTTGTTCCAACAATCAAACAGTACAGCTTTTACAGCCGCACCTAGCGAATCGGCACACGCCATCCCATTAGCGGTCATCAAACTCGTCGCCATAGTTCTCTTGCTTGTGGTTTCAGTGGTCAATGGTCTTTCGGATCGGCTAGGAAATCACGCTCCGATCATCCTTACCGTGCTTAAGCTCGTCAGCTTGTTGGCAATCGTGATCATGGCACTGGTACGGGTGGGACAAGGCCGCATGTCCGAAAGCTTTTCAGCAGCTAAACTATTCGCAGGCACCTCCCACTCACCTGGTGACTTTGTACTAGCGCTGTACTCGGGACTGTGGGCGTTTGATGGCTGGGACACGAGGTCAGGCTCCTTCCACATCTGCTCGCCACAGGGCCTTCCCAAGACAAACCTTATTTTCAGCGAAGGTCGCCGCACTTCCCTATGATAGCCATCAAAGAGCATTTAAATTCCCACATCGTGCAATCGAAGACTGAAATCTTCGCTTTTTTGATGTCATTGCATTTCTTCACTGTTGAAACCTTCAGTAACTACATTGCCGGAGAACTCAAGAACGCGCGAAAAACATTACCAGTAGTCATTCATGTGTCCATGGCAACGGTCCTGGTATTATTCCTAGCCACCAACGTTTCTTATCTAGCTGTCTTACCACTGAAAGTCGTTGCCCAATCGAACACCATTGCACTTGACTTTGGGCAAGAATTGTTGGGCGCAGCTGGGGGATTAGTCTTTTCTTTGATTGTGGCTTTGTCGTGCTTTGGGGCTCTGAACAGTACGTACGACTCTCTATTGATTATTTTATCTTCGCCGTGAGTTGGGAGTACTTGAGTTGCTGCTTCACAGGAGCCAATTATCCGTAAGTGATCAGACGGCTGATCTTGTTCCTTACCATCTACAGGTTCGGTGTTCACCACTGCTAGATTAGTGTCGGTTGCAGCCCAAGAACGGTGCGTATGCCATGGGGTTTGAGGATCGTTCTTACCCCAAATGATTTGCTAAACTCAGATACATTATTCTAACAGGTACATTCCAAGGATGTTTTCGCATATTCATACTACAAGAAACACGCCAATAAATGCACTGGTGCGCTCTGTTTGATATTTTTACCGTACATACCGATATAAGTATGACAATTGATCAGATGTTGAATTACATCGTGATCGCTTCTTCTATAATTCTCTACAGGCGTTACAAGCAGCTTTCACCACATTTATGATAATCGTTGGTGACTTCAAGGTAAAATGCTCTTGCAGGCTCAGTTTTTCGTGAATATCTTCATTATCCATGAATACAATTTAATGGCTTACTCCTCCTAACTTGTTATGATGTATCGGAATGAAGTCCTTGGTTGGATTCTACGGAACATGCTCTTGGTCCTTTTATCTCTTGACAATCATCTCCTTGTTGTTACTCAGAATTCGAGAACCTCATCTAGAAAGGTAAGTTTTACCCAAACTTTCGTAATATTACGACGTGATTGCGTGGAAATTGAGTCACTCCACATTGTTTTTTACGTAGGCCATATCGAACTTGGTTAATCAATCCATTAATATTTGCTTGTGTAGCTCTTTTCCTACTTTTGATCCCGATCTTCTCAGCCCCGATACAGTCTTTGGCAGCATTCGGTAAGTCGCACCAAGTAGCTAAGATGCTTCAAATGGAGAGACTCATTCTACGATTATCAACTCGTTGCACATCAGGTTTCATTGCGATTGGACTACCTGCTTACTATCTAACCACGCGGCTGCAAGGTGAAAATGCTGGTGAGTGGGGCTTGTTGCTCAAACTATGTTTTTCTTTCGAGTCATACTTGGCCCTCTAAATGACATATTTTCCTTCTCGCGGGATCATTCCGATTGACGCGAACTGCTTTGTTATCTGTATGGCATCGCAACAGGCTTTCGTACATTGTTTACCCGGCAATCAACCAGCGAAAATGCTATCCCAAATAATGTTGGTTATGAGGAAGTTCACAACACCCAGCCAGCGGACGACTCCGAAGATGAAGATTCAACTCCCTCAGTAAAACCCAGATGACTATTCTGAGCTGTCTGGAATTCACTGGCTACAAGATTTAGTAATGGTGAAATGAACACCCTTGCTAGCTTTTCTTTTTAATAATGATGATCAATCTTGGGTTCTACGATTTTTAGACACTATGACATCCATTTTTTGAGTTGCTTGGTTTTTTTCTCTGCATCGTGTATTTAGAATTAGTTCATGATAGATTCTGAGCACATTAGCTCTTTCAGGAAACACCAACTTGTACCAAATTTTCTTTCTCTAGCCTACACACTAACATATGCATTGCATCGCTAACTTTGATATGATCGTAGACTTGATCTGATTTGTAGAAGGGTGGAAGATACAATCAAACTTCATAGCTGTCTTCAAGACTACGAGCTTTGGCCTGCTTTGGCACGTGAGTAATTGTTGTCTCATTTACGTCAACTATCTATGCATCAGGAAACTGTAATCATCATAAGATTGACAATGTTATAGGGGCCTCTCATCCATGATGACTCAGCCCAATTCTGGAATTTCTCACCTTTAGACACTGAATGATTAAAGGAAAATCAGTTTGGTCTGAAGCCAATTTTTTAAGTATCACTGATCAGAAATGCAAAATATGCTACTTCAACTGACTTGATGCAAGTTTTTGATTCACATCTATCTTGATTTGTTGTTTGAACATGTTCTTTAAAAAATTCAAAGAAAGCTTCAAACTGGACCATCCTTTGCCTCAATTCTCTAGTTTTATGAGAATACCATTTTCCCAGTTCATTGAGTGCGCTTGACCCAAAGCTGCAGTATCATCTCACGCTTTCAAGATGGTCTGGATTGCATTAATTGAAAGTGAAGACTGGAGATTCGAATGAGATAACTTGTGAAACACACCTGAGGCATCATGAAGTAGATAGTAATTGAGTTTAAGACACATTATTATTTCCATCTATACATACACAAAATAACTAATTCCCATTTCTCTTGTTTAAGTTGATGATTGGATTGGTGTCATGTACTTGTCTCACAATAGGCTTTGTAAAAGAGCTACATGATTCAAGGCATAACTATATGGCTGTCTGAGAGCCCTCATGTCCGTAGGTGAATGTTTGTTCTGCAGCCATTGAATCACTTGTTGCTTTGAGCCATTTATGCATTTGGACTCTGGAGTCAGTGAAATGTCCGAGTGGCTGGGATGCCGGATAACTGTCTGGAGTCGGGCGATCACATTCTCGGCCTTCGGTAAAGAAAGTGAGCCGGCGGGGCCAGTAAGATGTTTTTTGAAAATCTTGAATTGACCATTTGACAAACTGATTCCAGCATTCAATCAGCTCAGCCTCATTGAAGATGAAAGAAACTTCGAAAAATAAACAATCCAAACTTGAAACCAACTCAGAATCACCTTCTCATCAAATCGTAAGTAACAACATATCGTTTCTGTCTTCGAAAAAACAACCACGCTTGAGTCTCAGACATATCCTGACGATAAAACTTCATTCTACTTTGGTAAACACAGAACAAAGCTATCAAAAATGTATCTCGAGCAGTTAAGAAAGCGAAAACCTTTGAAGTTCAACATTTTTTACGAAAGATCAAATCAATCAAGTCAGTGAATTATTTTACATCTTATTTGTGACTTGGATAATCAGACTAATCAATCTTTGGGTATATCTTCATCAGAGATCCAAATCCCAAGTCAAGAGTAGATCCTAGTCAATTACCTGAATTAGAATCCGATCTTCATGATCTCAGAGTAAGTAGTTTGACTATCATGATCGATTTGAATCATACGTTCAAAAACACTGACCACTACCACTCATCAACATGGAACGTCCTTATCAGGCTATAGACCCAACAAGTTTTGCTACTTTGATCATCTCATTACGATTACTCAAACTACGCCAAACCCTACCTTCATCTCTTCCTCCGGTTGAACCTCTTCATGGTCGTATAGCAAACAAACTTTCAAGTAACAAGCTTATATCAAAAACTTTAGCAGAAGAGACATCGACTCTTCGTACCGCACTTTCTGATTCCTCAAATCCTTCTACTACCCCCAACCGAAGCTCTTCAAGGCCTCAAAGTAGCAAAGATACTCATCCAATACGTTCTCAAGCTTTGAATGATAGGCCTACAAAGCGACGACGTGAAAGCCATAGTGAAGAGTCTGACAGTGGTAGTGATGATGGAGACGAAGCTCGCTACTCACCACCAGAACGATCCGTGAAGGGTAAAATGCGAGAACATACAACCAATCAAGCCACGAGAGCCGAAGAAACCTCGAGTGAAATTGATTCCAATTCTGAAAGTGAAGAATCAGATGAAGAAAGAATCGAATATTCAAATACAATGGATCGTAGACCCACTTCATCAACTTTCTTACCCACCCTGAATGTAGGTTATATTGATGGTTCAGATGGAAGTGATCTTGATGATCCAGTTTACGATCGACTAGAGCGAGAAATGGGACGTAAGAACAGACGTGGTCAACAAGCTCGTCGAGCGTAAGTGAAACCTTTAAATCTCAAACCAAATTGAAATCTTGATCAATTTCTCTTTCTTGTGAATGTTTTAGAATCTGGGAAAAGAAATACGGAAAGGGAGCCAAACATTTACAAAAGATTGCAGCCAAAAAACAAGCACCAGTACCACCGCCACCGAAGTCAATAGACACAACCAAATCAAATCTACCTAATCCTAATCTAGCACCAATTGGACAAAGGAAAGCAGTACATCCAAGTTGGGAAGCTAAAGTGAAACAACAAGCAGCTTTAGCAAGTGCCGTTCCGAAAGGGAAAAAGATTGTTTTTGATTAAAAGGTTTTCTGGAATAAGATATCAATTTTATTATTATTGAAGTTCAAGTCCAAGTTGGAGTTTTCTTATTCGAGTCTATTGAGTTGATCTGTCTTCGCAGTTTTCTTACAAATATGTATTATATTTGATATACAAACTCTTAATGACATTTCACAACAAGTCCTGACAACTTGAAAAGTGCTTTAGAAGCACATATATCTCCAAGAAAACACTACAAAGACGATCGAAGTTCTTCCTTATCACAACCTATTGCCTAGGATCAGAATATCTTCATATCCAATTGAAATGCTCAAGAGACCCTCAGTAAATCACGAAGCAGAGATTTCATCTTTGAGACTATTCAATGTGTGTAGATACAAAGTGCTATAGATGATATATACACTACGGCTCCTCAAGCAGTCGTTTCAGTTGGCCAATGTGTAATTTGAGGCATGGCAAGGGCATGGAAAGATGCAAGTCTTCAATCACCTTGGTAAGGCGTTCGTCCAGCTCAACAGTTAATTTGAAGCTGAAATCTCGGCTTGAGAATTTGCTTGAACTTTGAAGGGTGAGAAGGGTGGCTACCTGTGGCTATGTCTGTGCAGGACATTTCGTATGCCCCACAAGACATCCATCAACTTGCGAGTAGAAATCCTGGGGTAAAACTAAGAAATCTTCCCTCCCGCGTGTCTTACTGAGTTATCACTCGCCTTTTTTAATATCCATTCAATCAAACAATTCAATATAGCAAGTTTCAGACACCGAATCGTCCTGCCCTGCCACACTTCGCTTTCCTGTACCCTGGGGCACGGTTTCGTGGCGTCAAGAAAGCGTCTAACCCATTTTTGAAGAGGTTCTTTTGGGACCATCGGGGTCAATTCAGGTCCAATCAAGGTCATTTGTACAAACAGAGAGTATGAAAAGCGGGTCAAATAATAAACCTCGCTCGTGCGATAAGAAGTCAAACTACAACAAAAGGCTTTTGAACGTGTAAAGGAGAATGCCCGTGTTGGTATAATTTTTAGCATCCACAAACAATCGAAAAATTTCAAGTAGCAGGTTTCACAACCCCAAATCGTCTTGACCTGCCACACGGCGCTTGTCTGTGGGTCTGTGCTCTGGTTCACGGTTCCGTGGCGTCGAGAACGCGTTGGACCGGTTTTGAATGGTTTTTTGTGGAAACATATGGCATAGACGATGTTTTTATATGGAATCATGATTCGGCCATATTGTAAGTTAGGCTCCTGTCGAGACAAGAAATTTATAAGAACCACAGTCGACTGTCACTTTATCCCCTCCATTCCCTGTCTTAAAAATTAAATTTCCACACTCAAAATTTACAATTCTTCATCATGCTTTTCTTCAAATTAGCAATTGCTGCTGTCCTAGCTCGTCAGTCCCCCCATTCTCCCTGATACATAAATTACTTCTGCCATCATACTAACCTTCCTGACCACTTATATAGTCACAGTCTCTACCACATCCACCCAAAAGGACGGAGTGTGAGCAGAGTCTTTGTGTTTCTATGTACTCAGATTGAGTGCTAATAGGTTATATCATCAATAACAGTGCCACTGATGCAGTCCTGCAAAGACGAGCTACGGCGGCCAAAATCTTTGCAAGGAGCAAGTAAGTTCGGTTTGTATCAGGATACACTAGTCTAACGCTGCGCCTAAATTTGCTGACTGGCTTTAATGTGGTTGTCCTTTCCAAGGTCTGGGGATAGTCGCTGCGCGACCTGTGACGGTTTTGAATGCCAAGACCCTACATCAGGATGTCATAAACGCAAGTGTTGTTAAAACTGGATGAATGCAGATTACAGCGTATACCATTGCAAAGAGATAATGTAAGGTTACGCCCATCTTCTGTTGACTTGTTTTCTGCACCAGAATATCTGTTCTTAACTTCAGTCTCGCGCATCTGTTAATTCTTGGTTTCTTGACCCTGGTTTCCGTGTTCTTACAGCGTGGTGTTCCTCTCAAGCTAGATATGATCACTTCCGATCGCTCTCTTTTTTTGATCCCTTCATTCTTGCTTCCTTGAAACTGCTTTTTGTTCCTAAGATTTTACTTTCCTTTGCTCATGTTTTGAAACTTCAAGGATGTCACACCGCGCCTGATGAGCTTGTTGAATGAGCTTGAGCTTATACGACGCGCACGCCAGTAATCTGAGATTGATTGTCAACAGTTGAGAATCCATCTGAGTGCACCAAGAAACCAAATTATATTTCATATATAAGTTTTCAATGACATTTCACAAGAAGTCCTCATGCAACTTGAGAAGTAGGTTAGAAGTAAACATGCCTCAAAGAAAACACCGCACAGACGATCCGCCTTCAGAATTTGCTTGAACTTTGAAGGGTGGTCAGCGGGGTAGAGAAGAGTGGACCTGTGTCTACAGGCTTCTACCGTGTCTTGTGCCGGACCTTTTGTATACCCCACAAAAACATCCATCAACCTAATTGAAATCATGGCGTCAAACTAAAAAAAATCCGTCCTGCGGGGTTTAACTGAGTTATCATGCGCCTTCTTGATATTTATATGTTTTTGTGGCGTCAAGAACGTGTTGACAGTTGGACCGGTTTTGGATCGTTTTGTGAGGATACATGGCAATGTTTCTATATGGATCCATGACTGGAACTTACATATATCAAGCTACATAGGTTCCTGTAGAGACAGAAAATCTGAGAAACCCAGTTGGCTCTTGTCTCCCTCATCGCCCGTCTGTTAAATCGAATTTCTACACTCAAAATTCACGATCCTTCATCATGCTTTTCTTAGACATAAATTGGATGCAAGATCTGGTAATGATGACACGAACAACCTTGCCCGCTTTTCTCCTCCATGATCATGATCAATCTTGGGTTCTACCTGCTGACAGAGGTCGCTGCACAACCTATTGCTGAGGATCTGAACATCTTCATATCCGATTAGACGGCTCAAGGAATCCTCAACCAATCTCAACCTTACCGTGAGGTTTCCTTCTGATGATTAATGAGAGAATTGCCCTACACAACGCTTCAGTATGTGTGATGCAAAGTTCAATCGATAGAATATATACCATGGCTGCTCAAGCAGTCGTTTCAGTTTGCCAGTGACCAAACCAGACGGCTGTAAATTGAAGCATGGGATGGAAAGATGCAAGTCCTCAACCACCTCGGTAAAGGCATTCATTGAGTTCAACTTCCACATCCACTTCGAAGCTCAAATTTCGGATGAAGAATTTGCTCGAATTTCGAAGGGTCAGACTCGAAGGGTGCAGAGTGGTGGGTGTCTGAATGTGCCGCACCATTTTTTTAGCCCACAAAAACATTCAACAACCTCCGAACTGAAATCACGGCGTCCAACTAAAAAGGTTTTCGCCCCGCGTGATTTATTGACTTAGCTGGCGCATTTCAGATATCCATGCGTTCTCGTGGCTTCAAGCACGCGTTGGACCGGGTTTGAATGGGCTTTCTGGAACCGTAGGCGATTATTCTAGATGGAATCATGACTGGAAGTTATATTAAGCCAGGTTCCTGTCAAGACAAGAAATCTGTAAAAACCCAAGTCGCCTCTTTGTCCCCTTCATCGCCCGTCTTATAGATCAAATCTCCACACTCAAAATCAAAATATCCAATTGTCTTGCTCCAATCAAAATCTACAATACTTTGTCATGCTTTTCTTAAAATTGGCAATTGCTGCTGTCCTAGCTCGTCAGTTGACCCATTCTCCCTGGTATATAATTTTAGTTTTCCTTCAGAATCATACAATTAACCCTCCTGTCCGCTTATACAGTTACGGTCTCTGCCACCCCCACTCAAAAGGACATAGTGTGACTGGAGTCTTTGTGTTTCTATATACTCATAGCATATACTAACAGGTGATATAATCAATGACAGTAACACGGATGCAGCCCTACAAAGACGAGCTACGGCGGCCAAAATATTTGCAAGAAGCCAGTAAGTTCAGCCTAAAGTAGGATACAGTAGTCTAACACTGCATCTGGATTTGTTGACTGATCTGAATGTGGTTCTACTCTCCTAGTTATGAGCATTCTCAATGTGCACAATGTGAACGCAGCGATTGCGTCGATCCTAGATCAATTTGCAATCAGAATGGGTGCTGTTAAAACTGAACAAATGCAGATCACAGCGTATACCATTGCAAAGAGATAATGTAAGGTTACATTCATATTCTGTTGACTTGTTTTCTGCATCAGAATCTGTGTTCCAAAATTTTAGTCTCGCGCATCTGTTAATTCTTGGTTTCTTGACCCTGGTTTCCGTATTCTTAGAGTCTGATGTTCCACACAAGCTGGATATGATCCCTTTCAGTTTCTGTCTTGTTCTGACCTCTCTGTCCTTGCTTTCTTGACTGTTGTTTTTGTTCCTATCATCTCATGTTCCTGAGGTTATCTTCTGAAACCGCAACAATGTGACCCGCCATTCAATGAGCTTGAGTTTATACAGGTAACGCGCACGCCAGTAGCCTATAATCAATGATCAACAAAGTCAGAGTGCACCAACAAACCAAGTGTTTATGCATACCGAACTTGAATTCTTGGTTTTATTTGAAGTTTGGGCACCCTCTACATAAGTTGGTTGAAATGTCAAAGTGAGAAATGCAGTTTGAGAATAGTGTTGAAGCTGAAAATGTTGATTTGCACTTGGACTTGGATCGAGTTCCAACCTCAAGCTAGTAAACTCAGCAAGACTTCAACGATACCTCATCAGTCTAACCAATCCAATGATTCTCAAATCAAGAAATCAACTAAACTGCTTCGCAAATCGATTTAATCAAACTCGTCGACTCCATTCATCGACTTCGAAAATGACATCAACAAGCCCAAAAGAATTAACCCAATCAATCGAAGAATGGTTCAAAGCACCACGTTTCAAAGAAACCAAACGAACCTATCCAGCTTCCTTGATAGCATCAAAACGTGGTGCACTACCCGTTCATTCCAACAGTTATGCAAACCTGATGTCACGGAAACTGTTTGATCAATTAACAGAAGCAGAAAGAACCGGTCAACCATTGCTTACAATGGGAGCATTAGATCCAGTACAACAATCACAAATGTCAGAACATCTACCATTAGTTTATGTTTCTGGATGGGCGACTTCAAGTACATTTGTATCAGGTTCCAATGAAGTAGGACCAGACCTAGCAGATTATCCTTATACGACTGTACCGACTCAAGTGGCCAGATTAGCAAAAGCTCAAATGTTACATGATCGAAAGAAATGGGACGAAGCATACCAATTAGGAAACGAAAAAATCGAAACAAATCAACTTAAACCGATCATAGCAGATGGAGATACAGGTCATGGAGGATTATCATCCGTCATGAAATTAGTCAAATCATTTGGAGAATCAGGTGTAGCAGGAATTCATTTAGAAGATCAGTTACATGGAGGAAAGAAATGCGGACACCAAGCCGGAAAGGTTTTAGTCCCTATATCAGAACATTTAAGTAGACTTAGAGCCGCTAGACTTCAATGGGATATTATGGGACTAGAAAGCTTATTGATAGCTAGAACTGATTCTGAAAGTTCTAAATTGATTAGTTCGGATTATGATCCACGTGATTTTAGGTTCATACTTGGAATTGAAAATGGGGATAAAAAATCTTTGGTTGAGGAAATTCTTGAAGCTGAAGAACGAGGTGCGGCTGGAGAGGAAATTGATGAGATTGAAAAGAAATGGTTAGAAGATGTGGAATTAGTGACTTTTGATGAAGGTATATATGCGTTATAGATTGAATCTTCACTTTCAGTACTGATTAATGTTTCACGATTTGCTATTTCTATAAAACAGCTGTCGAACGAGTTTTCGAAAAGAACGGATTACCCCCTTCAACATACAAGTCCTACCTCAACAAAATCCAATCGCAAACAAACTCGCACACGAATTCACTAAACATAGCCCAAAGTTATTTGCCTTCAAATCCGAAATTTCCACTACAGTGGAATCCACATTTACCAAGGACTCGAGAAGGTTATTATCGATTTAAAGGAGGATTGGAAGCAGCATTATATCGAGCCATTCAATTTTCTCCATTCTCTGATTTGATATGGGTTGAAACGAAAAAACCAGACTTGAACCAAGCTAAATTAATTGCTAAACATATCAAAGAGCAATTCCCCAACAAGTTAAGTTCATTTCCCTACCCCAAAAAAGAACTTGAGATTGAGATTGAATGGAATTGGTTTTTTGGATTTGATAGATGGTTAGTTTATAACCTTTCACCTTCGTTTAATTGGTCTGAACATGGATTTTCAGATCATGATTTAAAATCATTTGTATGGGAACTTGGAAAAGTTGGCTTCAATTTACAATTAATCTCCTTGGCAGGATTGCATTCCACTGCAACAATGACCAGTTAAGTTTTCACCGCAAAAAAATCAATTCCAATTTCAAAAAACTATCATTCAAGTTTTGATGTACTAATTGAGGATTTTGGGGGCAAATAGATCAATTAGCTAAAAGTTTTCAAAAAGATGGGATGTTAGGTTACGTTAATTTGATACAAAGAAAAGAAAAAGAAATCGGTTGTGAAGTTTTAAAACATCAAAAATGGAGTGGATCTGAATATATTGATCGAATTCTCAATGGTAAATTATCATCATTTTTATCAATTTTGATTCTTTGGAGAAAATCAAGACTGATTTTGATTTTGGGATTTGGTTTCTGTAGCGGTTTCTGCTGGATCTAGTTCTACTGCTGCTACTGGTTCTGATTCAACTGAGAAGACTTTTTAAATACGTGATTGTAGAAATAATATGAATTTTCTTACCTTTATTCACTTGCAAGTTGATTTGTAAATTAGATTTCTAATCAAGTTATCAAGTTTTCAATTCTTTTTGATCGCCCTTTTTTCCATGTAATAGTTACACTCTTTTTGCAAGTCTATCAAATAAATTACAACCTAGCTATTGACAAAAGTTTCGACAATGAGTTCGACCTCACTATCACAATGACCGCACTCAAATAACAATCAAAAGTAAAACTCAGAAAATTACTTGGCCACAAGTTTAAGGAAACACTTCTTGGATCAATGATGATGCACACCACGCAGCATACGATCAACTTATAACCAACCCTTCAAAACTAACAGCACAATCACACACGATATGATAGGAAGTCCCAAAAATTATACAAGATATGATAGAGAATAGAATAGGATTTGATTCCTCTTTAAAAATTACACACCCCCATCTATTATGTACGTATCTTCCCCCTCGTCTTCCACCTCTGCATCCACATCCTTTCGCTCCGACCGGCATTCATGTCTATCTCTCCGATCGCGCTTGTCATCAAATTTACCTGATCCTATTCTCTTTCCGGTTGCGCCAGGGCGAGCTTCGTTTCTCTAATCTGCTTCAGTTCTTCTCCACTTTCTCACTCCCTTGATCTCAATGGTTCAATATCAATTGTTTCCTCTGATGCATTTCATGCTTGATTCCCACCTTGTCACTTTGATTGTAGATTTTCGACTTTGACCCTTATTCTTTCCTTCTTTCATCTTTCTCTTGACATCTTTCATACTGAGATCATCATCTCTCTATTTGAAACTTTGCTAATTTTATTGTTATCTTGATATCTGCTACTTCATCAGCATCAACCTTCAAGTTCTGATCATCAGTTCAATTCCAATTCCGATGATGCCCTTTAACATTGACCTCGAGCACAACGTAAGTCTTTCAATTTATATTCTCCACTTTCTTATCTTGAAATGAATGAAGCACACTGAATGGATGTTTTTTTACCTTAACTTGATCTCTACCCTTTCTTTGAAATTATCCTCGGACCTCAGGTGATGTCGATATGAAATCTAGTCACGTTATCGTTACGGCTAGAAAGCACTTCCGAGATCGGAGCCATGAATGCGTTAAGTTAGGTTCCTCTCGCTACAAGAAATCTATAAGAGCTCCAGTCAACGACCTCTTTGTCCTCCTCCTCATCGTCCATCTTAACCATCTCATAAACCAAACCTCAACAATCACATTGCCTCGTTCAGACGATCCAAAAAAGTTCCTTATCATGCTTTTATTAAAATTTATAATTGCTGCTGTCCTAGCTGGTCAGTTCGCCCAAGATCTCTGATATATAATTTATCTCCTCCTTCATACTAACTTCCCTGTCCACTTATACAGTTACTATCTCCAGCACTCCCAACGAAAAGGACCTCACGTGAGTGGAGTGTTTGTGTTTCCATATACTCAGATCGCGTGCTGATAGGTCATATAATCAACAACAGTGCAACTGATACAATCTTAGAAAGACGAGCTATGGTGCTCAGGGCCTTGCAAAAGAGGTAAGTTGAGGCTCCACCCATAGTCTAATCCTGCACCTCAATTTGATGAATGATGTGAATGTGCTTTTCCGTTCAAAGAGAATGCGAAGGCTGTGCCACTGGGGGATGCGACCACGGGCTGTGTAAATTAGCTTGTTGTCAATGAATGAAAATCGTATCGTATACGATTGCAAAGAAATGATGCAAGGTGACTGTAAGGTTCGTGAGAACCTTCACTGGGGGTCCGGATAAGTTTCCGGCTCGACTTCTCGAGAGAGCACTAACTAAGAACTTCGTTATGTTTTGATTACGAAACTAGCTCCAGAAAGTCCAAGGTTAGCTCTCTGAGGAGTCCTCGAACAGATATTACTTTTGCTAAAAAGCTTGGTCAGACGAAGAAAAAATAAAATAGAATTAGACCCAGATTTCACCGCAGCAGTCACAACGCAGCAGAGAGAAAAAAAATTTAGGGTGCTGTCAGCTGTGGTGCGACTTCCCTTCCATTCCAGCCTTTTGATCACCCCGCTACCGCCAATATTTTTCATATTCTCCAAATACGAATCAACCACTTCGCTTTCCTCACTGAACCCAACCCCTCCAATGGGTGGTTTCCGGAAGTATTCACCCGACGTGAAAGTGCTTGCTGTTACCTGGTCTCTCAAGGGTCTTCCAAGGACTCTGATCCGACAGCGACTTCGCAAATCAATATCTCGCCAGTCACTCACCCGTTGGACCGAGCTCTACCGCCTCACCCGCGCTGTCATACGTGATCCACACACCCACCAACCACGTGGCCGACACCAGCACTTGAATAACACCGACCGCGAATTCATGGAAGTTTTGGTTAATGAGCAGCCAGCACTTTTTTTGGATGAGATTCAGGAGAAGCTTTACAATGCCCATGGAAAGATGCCATCAATCAGCACGGTTCATCTCGAGCTCCAGTCCCGTCTTATGATCAGCTTGAAGAAGGCTTGTGTTAGTAATGTTCGCAAATCTGTGCGACCCAAGTTGTTATGGGAACGTGATATGATGGGATACCCCTCAAACTTCTTAGTATTTACTGGTAAGTCAGATTTCTCTCATGACCATTCATGGGTACTGATTCTCCCTTACCCAATACTTGTAGATGAGAGCGCTATCTGTGGTCGAGATCTCTTGAGAACTCATCAGCGAAGCAGAATTGGAATACGCACCACGCGCAAGATTCCCAAGATGCATCAAGGCCGCTATTCTTTGCTCCCGGCCATCAGTTTCAATGGTTTAATCGCTCTTTCCGTGCTTGAGGGACCTGTGAATCGAAAGCGATTTGAAAGATTCCTCAAATATACCTTGGTAAGTCTGTTCCCTTTTTATTCAATTATTCAACCAATTCCTGACCTTAATTTACTGCACAGCTTCCCCGCATGAATCGCTTCCCAGCCCCAAATAGTGTACTAGTCCTTGACAACGCGTCGATTCATTGTGGTGGATCGATTGCTGATCTCTGTAAGGAAAAAGGTACACTTTGACGTTTCAATTCCTGCCATTTTTCTCTTCATCGTGATTCATTCAACTTACTGACAATGCCCAATATCAAATCTAGGTATTCTTCTTCGATATCTACCACCATACTGTCCCGAGTTGAACCCCATCGAGTTTGGATTCAATGTCTTAAAATTTGATGTCCGGAGATCACAAGTTTTAGTAACTAGGTCAAATCCAGTCAAACGAATCCGAAAGGCAGCTCACAAAACCTTTACAGCTGAATTGACACACAAATTGTACTATCATTGTGGTTATTGGATGTTTGAAGAGGACCTTGATCATGTAGAATAGATGAGTTGTAGATAGAGAAGATCATGATTGTATAGGAATAAGAAAGAAGAAATCATAGATCAGATTTGTGTGAAGATCGAAATCGTTCCAATTCTCTTCATAGGATCCCGAGCGATTCACATGATTTCAATCTCGTTCCAAAAAACAAGTCTCTAGATTACATAAGAGAGCTGAGATTGTTCACAATCTCTTCTATAGGAACATCGGAAGGTTGATTGGTTTTAACCAAGAAAAACCAGTTGATCATTGGATTATCAAATTCTTCAATAAAAAAGTGATTGTTTTTCGTCTTGTTCATAGGACCAAAGACAAACTGAAAGGGTTTGATTGACTTGTTTTTAATAACATAAGAGACAGCTTGAAGACTACCAATCCATCATATCACACCACAACCATCTCAACATCAAAAGAAAATCCATCAGAACAACATCCTGGCAGATTCTAAACAAGAAATAAAGGGTTCTACTTCAAACAAGTGATCGTTTTAAAACAAAGATCTCAGTCCTTCATCGAAAGGTTTCTTCTCTAACAGATTTCAATCCATGAATCCTACTGAAATCATAGTGATCGATCTAGATCCAACTCGAGAAGCTTTACAAACTATCGATCAACCACCAAATCAACTTAAACCTACATTTGGATTGTTTCTTGATCTTTCTCAACAAAAGTCAGTTTTGATCGATGATTCTGACAATCTTGATTACCTTGAAAACTCACTCAGATTTTGGATATATTTCATAAGAAATTCAATCTCTTTTGTTATTCAGCAGAGCTTGGGACTGGACCGGTTGAAGAATGTAAGATACATCTCATTCAACTGGCCCTTTTTCTCACATTAGGATGGTAGTTGCGAGCTCGTTAAAAGCTTCAACATCATTTATTTATTGCATTTGTTAACAGATGTTCATCAGCAACATGTGAGGAATCCAAACAGTGCAGAGAGGAGAGTTTCATGCCACCAATGACTGCTTTCCTTGTCGAGCTGCATTTCGTTTCTTAGTCTTTGAGAGCCTATATTTCCGAGCATCGTTATAAAGTGTAGTAATCATGACCTTGGAAAGTCCTTGCTGGATCAAATCTTCTCGAGGTAAATCATCTTTATTGATTGATCTATAGTCGGTAACATCAGTATCTTCAAAAACTTTGCGGATTTTTGCCTTTTTTTCTTCTGGGAAAGTGCAGAAGTTGAGGAATCCGTTGATTCCGTTTGGTTCGTCTGGATCATGTGCAGTGGGTGGTGAAGATGAAAGAGGGGGAGGGTGCTCAGGCGAAACGGTTTGTTTGTGAGAAGCACGAGGTGTGGTGGGATCTGGCGAGGCGTGGTTGTGCGCTGGATTTCTTTGAGGTGGCCGAACTGCTTCCCCAACAGCTGCTGCAACACCAACAAGAAGATCTTTGATAGCAGCAGGCGTGAAAGAATTGGTGCTGTTGCTTTCTGGGGGCACAACAGTTGGTTTACGAGGGTCTTTCGCTGGCTTTTTGACCAAGTCGTACTTGAAATGAGCCGGAGGATTATCAATATCAACATCATCGTTGTGCTGGGAACAAAAGTTAGCGCATGTGGGTGACCAGTTATGTAAAAATGATGCTAACTCACTCGGAGTTTGGCCCATTCTTCTGCTTTTTCGAGTGTCAAAGCAAAGTATCGGGTGGAGTCTTTTGGATCTATGACAATAGGATACTTGGTGTTGTGGACACCATCCATCACGTGGTGGTCAAGCAGCTCATGGCAAAAAGCAGCCTCAAGTGCAGCACCTGAGTCTTGAGAATTCTCAGATGCACAATCAGACTACCGAGTTAAATCAAACAAAAGCAATGTGAGTGAATGAAATAGAGGGTTAGTTACAAATGTTCTGACCTCTTCAGAGTCAAACATATCCTTGTCAATTCCTTTGCCGATCTGTCGTTTTAGCTTGCGCTCAGCTGAGGCAGCAATCACCTCGGTACGTGCAGCCTGAAAGAAATAACTGTAAGAAGATGGTTTGAATTTCAAAAGGCTCAAGAAGTAGAACTCACCGCATTAGCTTGAGCTTTGACTTTGTTCGGATGGGGCACAAGATAAGAAATACCAGACTCTCGACCAGGAAAGAGGGCCTGACTTTCTTCAACCCATGTTTGGACTGTGTCTAAGTTCAACTCAACACGGCGGTCTAATGTCTTTGGAAAGTTGGAAGACTTTTTGATGTAGAGGGTCCACACTCCGGGGTTCTTCCTGCTGTTTGATGAATGAAGAAGTACTTTTTCAATGGATTTTTTGGTTGCATCGCTTTTGGCAAGCTCCATGCACTTTGCCTTCAGACTGTCTATATCAAAACAAGTGGCATGCCAAGGTACTACACTTGAAGTACATGCAATTCGTGTGAAGCCTCCTTTCCCCTTTTTGTCAGGAACCCACATCTCACAGTCAAAAAAGAAGGTGTATGCGTTATCGTCTTCATCAATTTGTTCAGCGTCAACACTGGGATGTGGGCTCTGTGAATGAGATTGAAGGAAGAAAAAGCTGTGAGCTTCATGAATAGTGATAGTGTGAAAAGTTCAAAAACAGCATACCATAGCAATCTGATCATCTCTCAATCGGGTAGTCACACTTTCATGAGGCAATGAATCTGGTTCAGAAGAACGGTCCAGAAAGATTGGGTTGATGTGATTGTTCTCCATGTTGCAAACTAGAGCACGTAAAAGATTAAATAGAAGTCGTTGTTTGACATTTCATCAGGCACAATAAATTTTTTAAAGAACATGTAAAATTGAGAGGCCTACCTAGAGCACACAAAGACGAGATGGAAAGGGTGAGGACACAAGACCCTTTCCACGTGAAGCTCTAGGCAAGTTTATATACAAAAGTAGCTGACAATTGTGTAAGAGCATATGAGAAAAGTGGTAAAGATAGATCATCAATCATTGATCACCAAACACCAATGACTGATCTTTGTGTGGTGAGAACAATCATCTGGATCGTTGTTAGAAAAAACAACAGAAAATCAATAAGAGATATGTTCACAGCATAGCTTGACTAACTTAACAAGATTTTGAGACCATTGAAACAATTCAACATCTCAAACCCATCTTGAAAGAGTGTGGGAAGGAAGAGCTGGCGAGGTGATGGTGAGACCAAGCTAGGTGAATTAATCACTGATCTCAGACTGTAATGTGAGGATGGTCATCTGAATCACACGATATGAAAAGGTTTTTAGAAAGCACACCAATAGATAATGAATAGAAGACATAGAGTGACTTACCAAGAGTTTGACCAGCTCATCTTGCAAGAGTGTGGGAAGAAATAGGTGGCGAGGTGATGGTGAACTAAAGGTGGGTGATCAAAAGGCTGGAATGGAAGGGAAGTCGCAC